CCGTGCCGTTCATATTGACCGCAGGGTTCAATACTTCAATAGGTCCTAATGTCTTATTGGATACCTTGTATATATATACATATATATATATATACTTCTAAATGCATTACTAAACCGCCCCTCCCGTTAACACAAGCTGGATCCGCGCCTGATTTGAAGCGACTTGGCGCTTAACTGTCGTTGAATGCACAATTTTCGGATGGCAAATAAATCAATTTTATAAGACACGCCTAACTGTTGCACAATGAAACTGTTAGGTTAGCTATATAGTTATGAAAAGTTTGTATTTATATTGTGTGGAATTTTTATTTTTCATATTCGGGGTAACAACGAGCCACGGTTTATGGTCGTTTTGCTGACGTCATATTCGGCAGTGAGGTATATTGATCGCCAAGGTTTGGGCCAGGTAAGATTTTTAAGAGCAATGTACTCATATAAAGCCAGAGATGAATTAAATGTCATGTCTCGTGTATGTGATGCCATTACATTGTTGTTACACGGACAATATCGGTTAGTTAAAAAACTGCCAATCAAAATGTAAAAAAAAAATTGTATACAAAAACATGGCAGTTATATAAGGCAGTTGGGCGTTTGTCTTGCGGTGAGGTAAGACCAAAGGATGGTTAAGAAAAAGTAAAAAAACATTAACATTATTATCAGCACACGACACATGTAAAAATGTACCTATATATTTTATTGGAGATTATAAATGCTCGGAAACACATAACCCTAAACCACCCCAAGCAGTTTTACAACCTTTCAAGCCATCTCGACTTTTTATTTTTTTTACTCATAAATTATTTAAATCGACATGGCGCATAAAAGAAAAACATAATAATATATACCCGTCGTCTATCAATTCCAATGCGACAAAATAATACTATTTTTGCACAACCCAAACGTTCATTAATTTTAAATGCATACATTAAATTACTACATTTATTAATAACTTTAGGCATAATCAATTAACAACATGTACACTTATAAAAGTACATTGTAATAACAATGACATCTTTTTTTATTTAGTATAATTTATCATTACCAACATATCACTCAAATGTCCAACAAAACCTTTCAGGTCTTCGGGTTTTTTTTTAAGCGCAATTGTTGAGAGTTTAACGACCCTGTCTGTCTTGTACACTGATCACCTCATCAAGCAAGGCTAGCAGATAAGATTGAAAGACTTCAGGGACGTTTTTTGCGAATAGTAGCTTTTAAAAATAATTGTAAGTACTATAATCCAACTATAGATCAACTTTCAGTTAAATTTTTTAAAGCTTAAGTCGTGAAAATATGCTCGAAGAAATGAAATAAAGAAAAAGCTTTCAATCCACTTTCAATCCAGAAAAAGGGTTTGTGATTTTTTTTAGTTTGTCTATGTGGCTTATGTTATTTCACATTATACGATTATATTTAAATTTTTTTCTTACTTATTATTTGCTAAAGACTTATCAACTTTTGAAACTTAAAAGGTGGCATACTACATATTTAAATTAAAAATAATTTTCTGAAAACTTTGACTGGCCGATAGAGCACTAGAAAATACTAATACTGTAAAATAACAAAAACAAAAATGGGTTTGAAAAAAAAGACTAAACAAATTTAATTTATTTAAGATAAATGTCTTATAGTTCGAATATTTTTAATCTTGTTATAGCTGGCCATAGTTGTTGGAAAATATTTGCATACTTGTGAACTTATTAAATGTTTGATGAGCCAATATAATACTTTTAGGGTAAAATTTTGTGAACTATAGACTTACTACATAAATATATTAGGTCAGCGGTTTAAAAGGACACTAAAAAAAATAAAGACACATCACTGTAAAAATAATACCTCCTCCTCAGCTCTTCCAAGTTAAAAAAATATGACCATAGGTTACCAATAACGTTGCTGATTATTTTCTTAGGTTTTTTTTATAGCGTTATTACTAAAAACACTATATTTTTAAAGTCCATATTATACTCTTGTTTTTTTTTTTTTAGAAAATCAACAATATTTTCCCATTTTGCTTTGACAGTTTTGTCTTGAGATATATTTTTCTTGATATACCCATACTCGTCGTTTGACGCGTGTGGGATTTATAATACTAAATAATATATGGCTGTCGTTATTTTATTATTATTGTTAATATTATTATATATCGGTTTTTTTTTTATAGTAAACGGTTCGAAGTATAAAAGTTGTGGGGTGTTTTTTTCAGAGAAACGATAAATTTCCTTTCTCCTATACAAACACACACACATGATACTTCCTGTCTCCGAGTTCCTGTTTTTTCACTCTTTAACCCTTCTTTCCCATCGTCCTGGTCTATAAACCTTGTATGGGGTGAATTTTATTAGGCGCACCGACACTAGTGACTTTATAGATTTGTCTTAGTTTAGATTTGCACAGCTCTTCCAAGTGTGGTCCAATTGTCTTCACTGTTATCTCCAAATGATCAACGGATTTATGTAGCTGGAATCAACCCAACGGCCGGGCACGGTTATAAGAAAACACAGCTGGCCAAGCAAGCGTAGAAGTTAGATCAAACGTTATAATATAATTCCCAGTAGGATTTAATGTCTCTATTCGTTCATGGTTCAGTGCTATTTTAATCAATGGACGTGACAATCTAATTTGGCGTCGCATACACAGAAAATTGATGAAAAATAAAGTCGTTGCCTCGAGACTGTCAGAGATAAAGAGTTAGCTATAATAAAACGTTATTGGCTGGTACTAGTCCACTCAAACTATATTGACATGAAAAGTTTCTTAATGGTGCCCCGACGAAATACTTGTCATTTGGAGTTGTGTAAATATACATATATTTATAAGTTTTTTGTTCTTAATTTGAAGGAATGTTGTACTGGATAAAAAAAAGTTGTCCTAATTTGTTGAGGTTTTTAAAAGAATTTGTAGAGGTTCCTTTTTATTGAAAAAACTTGGTTAGATGAGAAATAAATATTGACGGAGGTAGACAGACCTCAAAAGATGAATTTTTTCGAAAATGCTGATGTAGGTCGATATCGAATCACTTTTTCTCAACTCATAAGACTTAATCATGTGTCTACATTTTATAATATAATAATTGGTTCTAATATATATTTTTTATAATATTACAATATTGTTATTAAATTCTATTTGTTAAGTTACCAAAATGTTAGTTGGGTTTACCAAAGCGGTTACCTTGATTCCGACGTTCTCATTGGTTACCACTTAAATAAAATTAACAAGTTGATGAAATCGGCTGATAGTGTTTTTTTATGATGTGATCTCAATTCTCAATTTTTCACAAATTTTCATGTTCCTACCCTTACCACACATATAAATTGGAAAACAATACAGCTGCACCATTGTTGGTGTTCTTATAAAACATAATTAAAGACGAGTTATATATGTGTATATAATTGCCTGGAGAGATTTAAGCAAAGGCGTAAAAAAGAAGATCAAAAGGAAATTGGTATTTGTCAAACTAAAATAAATAAACAAAAAACTCGCTGTATAAATTACTTTTCTTAAACATTTCGATAACGTCTCAGTCCACTTGTAAACAATTAGTATTCTAGGAATCAAATTAAATACTCAAATGTGTGTATTTATTTATTTCACAGTTTAATGTTTTAATACACTCATATTAAATGAGTTGAAGTTATAACACAGCATCATAATAAATACTCTGATTGTAATCTTAAATAGCTTAGAGTTCTTACTTATTATCTTTAACTATCTTCTACATTTATATGAGTTCGGTTTGCCGCTTTTGGGGGTAGGTGGCAATATTTTTAACTCTACTCATTTGATAAAGCAGAATAAAGAGTTGTTTTATTAAAATGAATATTGTTGATTATAAATTCGGATTACTAACAAGACGGATTTGCCGATTTTTTATATAAACTTTTGTTCTTAAATAAAATTATAAATCGCTAATTTATACTTTGGTAAACCTATCAAGTACAATAAATAATTATCCGGCCGGAAGAGTTAACAGAAAAATATTTTCCAAGAACTCAAATAATCATTCTACTGGAAAATGTTTCCTAATTATAAATATACACAGTGGTCTCTGCAATTATTTGAAGGCGAAATCCAATTAAGTTTAAAACACCGTTTTACTAACGAATGCTGACTCGCTAAAGTAAATTAGATATCGGTAGATACCTTTTTTTTTAATGAAAGTGAATCGGTCGTAATTCACAAGCTACTTAAAAAACCCGCTGCCAAAATATTGGCACACAACTTTCACAAAAACAAACTTAACTTAATCTAATATCACGAGAAAACTAAAAGAACGTAGGTTGTCATAGTGACCGGTATTATTCCGTGGCAACCGAAAAATCTCTTTAAAAAAGAAAATCTCTTATCAAGGTCAAAAGGTTTAAGGTAAATGCGAATGATAACATCAACAACAGTCATAACATCTACAGTTTATGGGTTGGAGAACCGAGAAGTTCTCACATAACCAGTTCAGCCAACCTAAACCATCATTATCCTCAAGTTAATACATTTATATTGTTTAGGTAAATAAAATTCTAATAAATTCTATAATTTCAAAAAAGTCAATTGTCTACCATGGTGAAAAAATCAAAAATGGAATTTATTAATCCGTTGGTTAAATTAACAATATAATATTTATATAAATCAACAAATGATTGGACAAATATTAATGAATATTTTGTTAAATCTAATAAAATTTGTATAAAATTTACTTGATAAATCTAAATATGTTATCAAAGACTAATCTATCAAGAGAATAACGTGTATTTTATTTTTCTACAATGTAGTATTATATTTATTATACTTCGTGTTAAAATGACTTAAATATAGCATAAACATAATAACTATCTTATAAGTTATCACGCTAATTAAAAAAAAAAACAAACAACTTGACATAAAGTGCTAACATTATCGAATTTGGTCATTTAATATTATTTATCAAATATAATATATGAAGCAATATGTTTATCTTAAAAATAAAAATAATTATGAACGTTTTAAGTTATTATTTATTAATATCATGTTTATGAATTTTGAGTTTCATTGACATATGTAATTTCTTGAATGCACAATTATAATAAAGTCTTGTGATTTGTTATAAATCATCATAGATGTAAAATTAAAATGTAGAGGTCAAAATAAGAACTTTAATAACGCATATTGTTATTGTGGTAATATTATTAAGTAGATATTTTGATTAAAGCAAATTTATCATGGTTTTGTCATGTTTACACATTATAAATGTTTCTAACTAAAAAAATGCGTTTTCTCAATTAGAAGTTGAAAATAGTGGACTTGCTATATTTTTACCATATTTCGTTCTCCAGGCGTAGGTATTGGTTATTTTTCAGGCTTGATGGAGATGATGGCGCATCTGTTGATGATACATCTGTTGGAGGTATCATGGTGCTCGATGAAGACGACGGTTCTGATGATGGCGAAGATGGTACACCCGGTGTAGGAGATGGTGATGTAGGTGTGATGGAAGTATTTTGCGGAGATGCTGTTGAAGATGGCGAAGATGCTGTTGTAGGTGCGTTGGTAGTGCTTGATGGAGATGCTGTTGTTGTTGTTGTAGATGGTGTAGGTGGCGGTGGAGGTGGTGGAGGTGGAGATGGTGAAGGATGTGGTGGATGTGGTGGAGGTGGTGGTGGAGGATTTGGATGTGGTGGAGGTGGTGGTGGAGGATTTGGTGGATGTGGTGGCGGAGGTCGTGAATCTGAGTTGTTAATCAACACCAAAATGTTCACTAAAACGCTCAAACAGATGATGAACTTCATGTTAATTCACTTGGAGTACAAATCAAAGTAGTTACACCGAAAGACGGACGAGAAGGCACGCTGTTCGAAACGTATGTAGTCAAATCGCAGTCTTCTGTATTGTATATATAGGATTCGAAAAGTACTCCAAGATCGGTTATGAAACCATCTAAATGGCTTAATTTCAAAAACAAAAACACGTCATTTCGATTAAAACCGTTGTTTATAATCCTCGAAAGGATTAGTGTTTTATTAGCCGCGATAAAATTGGTTAAACACGCGCTATCAAGAGTGTTGTATAACGGTTAGTCATCGAATGTTGTGAAAACACTTAAGTGATTTATTTAGATACCGTTGGGTGAAGTCAACACATAAGATGCCTTAAAATTAGTTTGGAAAAAGGAACTGATTAAATACAGGTATCAGCAAAAATTGCAGTTTCTTACACTGAAACAATTAATGAACTAAAAATAATTTTTTAATTTTGCCACAATCATTAGGTTGAAAATGTTATGAAGAATATAAAAGTTTTTTCAAAACTTAAATCGAAGAATTTTTAGGATTAGTACGTTTGAAGTAGAAACATAAGTTTTTGTACAAAAATAAATCCTATATATTATAATTGTTACTTCTTTCCTATGGTAATATGTATGTTTAAAAATGTTAGCTTAATATTAAGTTTAAGCAAAAAAGTTCCTATACAATGCGCCTTTATAAATGTTAGTGTAGAAGCCCCTTAGTGTACTTTAATCATGAATTGAAAACATTTTAATGTTTTTTTTAAATTTTTTAAGACCATTTTTAGGGGTCAAAAATAATAAATTTAAAAAATGTTATACTCATAAAAAAATCAAGTCAAGTACTTATAGCCTATATCATCTTTGAACCAAGTGGTTTTTTGCTATTAATTTACAGTTACAAACATATGTGACTGAACGAAAATTTTCCAAATTTATGTAATTATCTTACTAATAAGTTAGTAAAATTTAGGCGATGGAGAAATTATTTTAACACATGTTGTATGGTTTTAAATTTCACACGGAAAGAGTATATGCTACAATATAACTAGTATGGTTAAACGATTAGTTTACAAGGTCAGTTTGCAAAGAACATTAAACAATCAAATACTTACACCAAAATAGATTTTTGAATTTTAAAGAAATTTATTTTTTATATAAAACCAGAAATGCAAAAAAATGTCTGGTTATTTGTCAACAGAATTGTTTCATCAAAGAAAGTGGCAAGCCTTTGATTTATATATTAGTTTTAATGTCTGAAGAATCAAAAACTCTTTTTTTTCACTCTAAAATTTTAGGCTTAAAACTTGGCACTATTACATAGTAATAAAATATATTATAATCAACTATTATGCAATTTTATTACTAAATTAAAATTATTGAGCCATTACCTAACGTACTCCTTTTTTAATTTTCCCTTCCTTTTCTAATATATACTAAAACGAATCCACAAATAGTACAAAATATTGTCACTACCGAATTAGTTGCACCTAATCTACAATATTGTCTTATCTTTAAATGACTAATTGTTGATAGTTATTATTATTTAAAAAAACATTCTTCTTTCGCCATCAAAATATTTATTCCTATCAACATTTCTGTAATGACAAGTAAAAGGAAGAAACCATAAATCCCCTACCCAAAGACACAACTCAAGATTTGTTGAACCGACCTATTGGTAGTAAACAAAACAAAAAATGTTTTTATCAAATATAATTTTACACTATATAAGCATTATATTATGATGACTAATAACTATATTTTGTAACAGAAACTGTATTAAAACTCAAAACAATAATAAAACACTCATGCTAAATATTTATATTATTATAGTTCAGAAATTGTTTTTTAATTTTTGTTGACTGCGAGTTTACTAGTAATATGTAATAATGAATTACACATTTGATGAAAAATTTCTATATATTGAGTGTTTAGAAAACAATAGAAATAATAACTTTGATAACTCTTCATTAGGTAAGCAGAAGTTATTTCATGTGGGTAAAATAGATAAAAAGGAATGGCACAGACTTGCAATATAGGGTCAAATATCATAAATTATTGTATTTTGTAATTTAGATAATATTATTATGTCTTGCCTGTCCTGAGTATAACAATGGAAATAATTATTATTACTACCTATTTTTTTTAGGCCTTATATTTTAATGACCTTGATGACAAACTACTTTTAAAAAGATATAGACTATCTAAACAATAGGTTAAAAGTTAAAACATAATATATATATAAATCATTTATATAAACCAAAACGTTAAAATAAAGTAAAATAAAATGCCAAATAATAACAAACTGACAAATTAAATAATACAATTACTTATCAGTTATCACATATCTTAATAACCAATGAGAACGTTGGAATCGAGGTAACCTCATTGGTAACCCAACTAACATTTTGTTAACTTAACAATAATAATGTTATGGTGAAACTTATTTCTTTTAACCAGATGTTTGTTAACTAACACTGTGTTAAGAGTGTATTTAACAATAGTTGGTGTAAACGGCTGATTATGTTTGTTTGTGTATTTGTAAAATATCCACAATTGCCTGATAAATATAATTGTCAATTCAATAATAATGTCATGTTGGAGTGAGTAATACTAGTTTTCCTTTTAAGAAGACAGTTGACCGATAGAATCTAGCAAGATCATTAGATTTGTTTTTTTCTATTGTACGCAACTGGGCACCTCTGAGTCCTTAGTTATACAACACTATAACGTGCACCCTCAAAGATATACTTAAGAAAAAAAGATACGTCACGTGACGTCTCGTTTGAAAGATTCGAAGAAAAAAGCAAAAGCTTTTGTGCTGAGCTCAAAAATGAATGAGACCATCATCATCATACACACACATGCCAGGAGGGGTGGCGCTTTAGGTAAGACGGCGCTGCCATATAAGTGTATTACACAAGGTTAGACTCGCCAGCTGGATATTATACCTGTATTTTCATATATATGTATAATGTGCACGTCTCTCTAAACGACATCAACAGGTAGTTAAACAGAATTTTGGCAACGCGAGAACCGTAGTGTTTTTTTGTGTATTATATTATCAGCCGGTTTCACCAACTATTGTTAAAACACTCTTAACACAATGTTAGTTACAATTCATTTAAATTTAACATCTGGTTAAAAGAAATAAGTTTCACCATAACATTATTACTTTTAAGTTAACAAAACGTTAATTGGGTTACCATAGTCTTTACCTTTCTAAAAATAGTTTGTCATCAATGTCATTAAAATATTTTTTCTATTTTGAAGGCCTAAAAAAAAAATAGGTACTGATAAGAATTATTTCCATTCTTATACTCAAGACAGGCAAGACGTGATAATGGTATCTAAATTACAAAATACAACAAGTTATGATATTTAAACCTATAATGCAAGTCTGTGCCATTCCTTTTTACCAATTTTACCTACATTAAATAACTTCTGCTTACCTAATAAAAGGGTTATCGAAGTTGTCTTCTCTATTCTTCAGTCAACAAAAATTAAAAAACAATTTCTAAAGTATAATAATTTAAATATTATATAAGTACTACAATACATTTTAACATACTGATAACTTTTTAACAAGCCGATTTCGGGTGATTTATTTAACAATCTGTTAAGGCTAACACATATCGATGAAACCCGATTTCACTAACTAATTGTTAAATATAAAGAACAATAAGTTAAATTCTTAACAAATGTTGGTGAAACCGGCTGTATTGTATAAAAACACAAATGTGAAACAAAAATATAATTTCTTATTAAACCCTATGAGATATTGAGTGGTTCACGATACAATTATCACCCTGTATAACTCTATACTTGGGCCGGTAAAGATATTATGACGTTGGTGGCCGTTAATCTGCTTTTATATCCAATCGTTCTAATTAATCCACCACCAACCCGTCTGAATGCGCCCACACATTGTGGGAGTATTAAAAAAAAAAACAACCCATATCAAAAGCCGATAATACTTAATGGTGCTTACTTTTGTTTGTTTAAAGTCATTTATATTGTTTCCACGCATAAAATACTTTTATTAAAAATAAAATAAAAGCGTCAGTCCTAGCTTTTTCTGGAAATAATAAACGTTATTAATATGCCATCCGTTTATCTCAATCGTTGTTACTTATTGAACGGAGTGACTAATAATTTATTACCACAATAATTTCATTAACATATATTGCACTTGCACGTTATACCTTATCTTCGAGGTCTTGGCCAATTGTTGCCTGAAAATAATGCAACTAATGAAAAAAAAAATGTTTATGGTCCTACACTAGCTATTAGCCAGAACTCATTGTGTAAACTGTACATAATCCCAGTTTTAGGTAAGGGCAAAGCGCCTCATTCGAAAAGGTTTTTGGGAAGTATAAATTTTCCATTCCGACACAGAACGCTCCCATGGATATTTTCATTAAAAGTACAATGCTTGCTTTCCTCTCACAGCGGGGATGCCATCAGGCGCATAGATCATTCGATCTTACCGCAAGATCGACCAACCGGAAGCAGTCAAGTGTTTACCAATATATTATTACCAAAGATAATGTATTTTACAACAGCAACAAACGCCAACGTTCCTAGTGTATAAATATGACAATAATAGCCTAAAAAATGTATTTTTTATTTAATATTATTAGATTTCACATTAATCTTACACCAGTTGTTACACTTCGGTTCAACTGTTAAAGTTGTATACACACATAGAGCTACACATTATAGTGATAATGTATTTAATAAGAAACTTTAATCTACATAACAATTTATAAATGTGTTCTTTTTGTCATTTAGAAAGAAAATATGATAGAATTTTAGGTAAAATAATACTATTATTAGACTTATTTTATTTTATTTAGTTGATTGTAACCACTATTGTAAGGTGTTTTGGCCGTATTACCACCTGTTATCACTGATAAGCCACAATAACACTGATAACACTCCCTTATCAATGATTACACCCCATTATCATTAATAATGGTGTCTTATCAGTTATAACCGGTGGTAGTGATGAAAACAGGTTCTGAACGGAACTCCTACAAAACATTCTATTATTTATAAGAGTTTTTTTTTTTAAGAAACGTGCATTCGATTGACAGGACGGTTAAATAATTGAACGGCTCTGAAATACATTTTTGATAACGATTAAACAAATACCGAGTTCGTTAATGATATTCCCTTTACCATACTACTGTCGGCTATGATTATTATCAAACAACCAATATTTATACCGCTAAAAGTCGTATGAAACGTTGTTGTAAAAGTTATTCTATAAATACACCTTTATAAAAATTCGAAAATAGGCTAGCCACGCGAACGTTAAATAATTATTTATAGACATTTAATCGATTCTACACTTCTTTGGTGGCATCAAAAACTATAATAGGGGATGCTCTCCTGGTGCATTACAGGTGGGCCTAAATTCATTGGTGTTAAGAAACATTTTTTTTTTTTTTATGGTTCTATGAAAATAATCAAATGTAGAAATAAAGTTGGACTACTATTAATACCTGCAAGTATGAAAGACACATTAAAATACCATATTTAGTTAAAGTGACAAATATATCCCATTATTATTCGTAGGTCCAGTTAGGTTAGGTTAGGTTTGCTTTGCATCGAAAACACTCTACTAAAACGACATTAACTGTGTTGGTCAAGCAATAATATTATAATTTATTTATATAATACTATTTTATACAAACAACAACCAAAGTTTCCATTTTTTTTTAACTGAAAAAAACCAGATCTCAATTCAAAAAGCAAAATATATTTAAAAATTATATTTCCAATAAATATTTGTATTTTTTCAGTACATGAACTGAAGTCGTTGGCTTTTATTTTATACCGGGTGATTCAAGATTCATCATGATTCATGAACGAGTATGAACACAATATTAAATGTGTATTATTATTCTTGCTGTCGTCCAAGGTTTTTATTGCGATAAAAAAAAATATAAATATAGTTATATATAATCACCACAATAAAAACTACATCGTCCGAGTAAAGATTATTTTGTCGTGATAAAAAGTTAGGTAAAAAATGTTGTCACCGTAAAGACAAAATAAAACCGACTCTTTATAGACAAACTCGTAATTATTGGATCCGTCCATTCGTTATGAATGTAATTAATTTTATGGTTTGTTAACCATCTTTAATCAACCCCCAGTGATTATGTCCAACATTGTCACGTTACTCCCACGAAGCTCGAAGTTCACCCTCACCCCTCCACCCGTCCCGCCAATATATTGTCCCGTGGTGCGTATCCACCGGAGCGGAAAAGAAAAAAATATATACATTTTATCTATGTAATATAAATAAATATACACATTATATATATATATATATATATATATATATATATATATATACATGTACATATTTCCCACACGGATGACCCATTTCCTCACCCATCGCGCGGTGCGCGCGCATATCAAAGCCGGGCAATTTTAAGGGATGTCGCATTCTAGTAGGGTGTGTGGGTGTGTGGCCCAGCGGCTCGCCGGCAACACACGCAGAGAAGTGCTTTCAGTCCGACACACTTACAACGCACCGGCAGACGCGTCATGCCAACGACCGCGAATACTCCGAAGGACAACTGTTGAAAGCGACACTTTTTTTTTTCCGTCCCCTCGCCGTCAATTTTTGTGTTTATCTAATTTACGTCGTCTCCTCTTTTCATTATTTTTTCCCCGCTTCGTCAGAGAGTGTGTCTACTATGACGTCTCTGCCGTCAAACGTAGAGACGAATTAGAAAAGCAAAAAAAAAAACTAAAAAAAAAAAAAACCACCAACATCATTGTAGTCCGTCCCGCCACCGCAACATGATCCGACTCTTGGTGGGACTCTCGGCGCTCAGCGTGGCACTGACGGCGGAGGCGGCGCGTCCCGGTGGCAGCCTCAAGAATGCCGTCCACAATCTGGAGAGCGATCAGTACAAAGACTCCAGGAAGTGCCCGATGCCTTTGCCGGCGCTCAAGCGGGCGATCAAGCGGCACGCCGTCAAGCGTCAACAGGCGACGTCCAACAGCGGCAACCACAACAGCTACGAGTACTACGACGACAGAGGCGGCGGCGGCGGCGGCGGGGATATCGGCGACGGTATCCTGGAAGACTACTACGATCCCGACCTGATCACCGATCCCAGAGACAGGATGGTGCCGGTAATTTTCAATCCACGTCCGCTGTACGCCGCACCGGCTCATTTGACGCCACAGCAGCAACAGCAACAGCAACAACAGCAACAACAACATCAGCAGCAGCAGCAACAATCACAGCAACCGTCTCAGACGGCGCAACAACAGTTCTACGACGAACAACAGCAACAACAGTTCTACGACAACGAGCGTCTACCGCTGCCAAAACAACCGTACATTTTGCCGGACGAGAACAACCAGATCGACAACCCGTTCGAAATACCCATTATCGGTGAGTACATAATGAGTAAAATTTCAAGTCTATGTACTTGACAGTTCAGATTTACATAGTAAAAAAAAAACACAACATTCTAATGTAATATTAAATATATTACTGTAAAAATTAACTATACTTTCAACGCATAAAATAAGTACAATTTAAAATAGTTAGTAAATAAGACATAATGATATAATAATTGAATAACATATTATTTGAACCAATCGTCCAACTTCTTCCTCCTTGTTGTTCTTGCAAACATGTCGACAACTTTATAATTAATATTTACAGGAATTTCATTGTGAATATTTAAAACTGCTAAACCATTGCAGCGCTCTTTACCCAAGGTTGACCTCATATAATATTGTTCAACCGCCTTAATGATGAACAACTTCTTTCAGCACTTGTTTTCAGTCAAGAAAAGGTAAAAAATAGTTATCCTACATAGAAAAAAATACATAGTTGGTCCAACTAAAATTATGGTTAATATAGGGACACAATACATTTATTGTTTGATAGGTAACTAAATAAATAGTTAGGCTAGCTTAATTATTAGTTAAAGCATAAACGTGGTATTCTTATTTCTTCACCAAATCTTATCAAAAGTATTTTTTAACTCAGATACGGAATTGTCTCTAATATTTCCAATAACACATTAGATAATTAAAGTAAAAGAGAGTTAAAAAAAAAATCAAGTTCATAATGGGGGAAGGCTTTGTAGGTTGCTATGTGTGAATGAATCAACAGTCAACAGCTATTTAAAAATATTTCCATTATATTGTTAATAAATAGCATAGGTTTCTAATTACAATTGTTTGCTGAAAAAAATAAAATTTGTTTTACTTTATTTTAGTTTTTTCTAAGCTTATTTTAATAACAATTGTAGTCTACTTGAGCCAATACGAATCCAAATAAAACATTGTCGAGCACCAAAATATGTTACTTGTCGATATTTTATTTTCAGTTGTTTCATTCAAGTCAAGTACATCCCATTTACCTAAACAATAAAACTAAACATAAAATCCAGTGCTCGGAAGCGTTTAAATCGATCAATCATTTGTCCAAGAAAGTATCCAAACGTGAGCTCATAAATCTGTCAAGAAAACCGTGTAAGATATTATAGTGCACAGTCTTATGTGATTGGGTACAAGTTAGTTTTTACCTCTGCCCATTTCTCATAATAAAAAAAAAAACAATATCAAGTCCGGCAGCGTTATGAGCTTGACTAAGATTTTATAATATTACCTTTTATCTCAAACTGCACAGCTATATTATATGTTATTCGTTTTGAACATCACATAAAGGCTGTAGGCTTTATTTCAAATTGTTTCTAAGGCAAACTAACCGTAAAACCATACTCAAGAACCAAGAAGCGTGTAAATATGCACTACCACTCCGTTTAAGTTTATGTAATAAATTCACAAAAGTATTGTTCTCTAAAAGTTAATTAATAATAATTAATATCTAAACAACAGTTTACACTTATCACTTATCAGTTATCACAATTCGTGATAACCAATGAGAACGTCGGAATCAAGGTAACCGCTTTATGGTAACTCAACTAAAATTTTGCCTTATATATTTTAACTAATATTATGTTAAGAGTGTATTTAATAATAGTTGTATGTGTGGTATATTTTTATTTTGTGTTGTGGCCCTTATTTTAATATTATAAAAGCTAATAAACCGGCTATGGAAACTTCTATTTTTATCAATCAAAAACGACACTATTGATCGATTTAAAGTCAAAAACCTCAATTACCGCAGACTGCATACTTAATATAAAAAATGATTCCATAATTTCACTATAATTATTGTCATACCAAGGTCATTAAACACAAGAAGTAAGAATAATATACTCACGCTATTTGTTAACATAATATAAATAACGTTTATTATATCCGTGAGTGGATTTAATCACATTTTTGAACTATCAACGACGCTAAAGTATTTTTCATATTTCAATATAATTTGTTGTGTTTGCTTAATTGAAGCATCGCGTTTCGATTATATAATCAACACGATTGAATGTACGGGTTTTTCAACGACCTCTCTATCAAACCTCAAGTGTTTATTTTTTTTTTTGGTAAAATAATATTGTCAAGTCCCCTAAAATTGACAAGATGATATAAAACTATATCCCTGTTATATTATTAAAATTAAAAAAAAAATATTTTTGTAAAGTCGTACTTCAACTGTCCGGACTTCATTAAGTACAGAAATCGTGTAATTTAAAACAGCATTAATTATCATTTATCATATTGTGTTTTATAAAAATAAATCACAAGATTATTTCAAGCTGTGTAAATAGGTTTTCGCGGTGCATGAATACATAATATTGTTGTACTATATTTGAATAATCGATAATGATTTAATATTGTGCAATTCTTTTATTATATATTTTAGATAGCTAGTATCTACCTGAACGTGTGTGACGCAGTTGTGTAAGACGTCAAACTTGACATAACTTATGGCACTGTGAGACATAACTCTGCTTATTTTAGGTTACAAAATGACAAACTTGCATAAACGAACAAAAAATAATAAAGTATACATCATTTCTATTAGTTAGACAAAAAGAAAATGATAATTGTCCGTTTGGGGAAAAAATTACTTACTTACCAACAATTAATGTTGTTAATTTGTACAAACAATTATTGTGTATTTTTTTTTTAACCTTGCTACTTACACGATTTAAAACAATTCATTTTAATTACCAGTATGCCACTGTTGTAAAAACACCAGTTATAAAAAAAATATATCACACAATGATTTGATTGGCACACAAATTGTCCACTTTTGTAAAGTATATTATCATACTATCCCTTGGGCCTTAATTATTACTAGTGAATAAGTGATCAAGACTAGTAACATATTTAACCAACGTTAACTACTAATATATTTCTAATTATGGACGCTAATCAAAGATCAAACGGTTCTATAGTTGTATAATGTAATAAAATACTAACAAACAAAACATCTCTTATATATAAACCTTGGTAATACAAACCGTGTTGTTTGTAACGCAAATGGGTATAAATTAATTTAAAAAAAAAATCTTGAAAATATTCAATAGTTATTTAATTTGTCAGGTCCTTGTGAAACACAATCAGCTGATTTTACCAACATTTGTTAAGGATTTAACTTATTGTTAATTATATTTAACATCTTCTCAGTGAAAATCGGGTTACATCGAGATTCGATAGCCTTAACACGTTGTTAAAACGATTGTTAAGTTAATCAGCTTGTTAAAACTTTAATTGGAATGTTAAAATGCCACAGATCGAATTATTCATTACTAATTGAGATTTAAGTATAAAATTATAATATTATCACTTGCCAGATATCACATTTTGCGATAACAAATGAGAACGTTGGAATCAAGGTAACCGCTTTGGTAACCCAACTAACATTTTGTTAACTTAACAAATAGAATTTAACAATAATAACGTTATGGTTAAACTTATTTCTTTTAACCAGATGTTAAATTTAAATGAATTGTTAACTAACATTGTGTTAAGAGTGTACTTAATAATAGTTGGTGAGAAACCGGCTGCCTGTATTATAGTATGGTTTTGTTTTGGAAACTGTTTCGCTAATATTCGCACGAATTTTCCGATTTTCCAATTAAAACGCCGTTAGCGTGTATTGATTATTATTATATAACATTATTATTATTAGTAAACGCCGTAAAACGTCTCCGGTTAATTAATATCGGCCAAGTTGTTAAGTTGATAATGCGAGTGCCGTCATCGAATAAGGAAACTATATAGCGGGTGTGGGTGAAGTAATTCAGGTGACGAAACTTGGGCATTAACTCGGATCCAAACTAATTGTGCCGACCTTTTCGCTTAATGAAATGCCAATCAAAATTGGTGAACCTCCTTTGTACGGGTTCAATCGAACTGAGGCAACCGCAAAGTTACACTGCCAAGCAATTACAAATTATGTACACCAAAAACTGTATATTATTGTGAACTCAAGTTGTGACCATTGTGAACATGTTTATTTAACATCCATCGCGGGAGTTCGATTAGATTATTGTTAATGTTGTCACAGTTTTGTACGGGAAAACCCGCCGGGGCACCCTGGGGACGACAACCGTTGTTCTGTGGTTTGCAAGTCGGATCAATAATGACCTTTATCAGCAATCGAGAATAAGCTTAGTGCCGCTAAGTGTAGACGGCTATTGTCAAATCAAATATTCGGCCGATTTAAATAAATAAATAATATTTTGGTATTTGTTCGATTTAAAGTTATATTTAACAAAGAAAAAGAAAAAGAAAACGTACAATTTCTCAACTCTCGCAGCCGATTTCCCGAACATTTGTTAAGGATTTAACTTATTGGTTAATTATTTTTAACAATCAGTTAGTGAAAATCGGGTTACATCGAGATTCGATAGCCTTAACACGTTGTTAAAACGATTGTTAAGTTAATCAGCTTGTTAAAACTTTAATTGGAATGTTAAAATGCCACAGATCGAATTATTCATTACTAATTGAGATTTAAGTATAAAATTATAATATCATCACTTGCCAGATATCACATTTTGCGATAACAAATGAGAACGTTGGAATCAAGGTAACCGCTTTGGTAACCCAACTAACATTTTGGTAACTTAACAAATAGAATTTAATAATAATAATGTTATAATGAAACTTACTTAATTTAACCAGATGTTAAATTTAAATGAATTGTCAACTAACATTATGTTAAGAATGTATTTAATAATAATTGGCGAAACCAGCTATCGATGAATGATTTTTTCTGACCTTTATCGAAATCAGTCAAGTGGATGGTAAAATAAAGTAATCATTGTAAGCTCAATACATTCTCGAAGCTCAAAAGACATAATTTCCACTATAATTATACTCGTTTACAATGATGAACAATATTAATGTAAGCCTTAAATACAAAATCAAAACAATTTTGGACTTATTTTTGATATTATAGCTGTTAGTCTAAATAAATTATGTGGCGAAAAAGAAATCTAATGAAAATTATTTTTATAA